GCATGTACATTTGCAATCAGCTGGCGGCGCGCACGAGGGGGTGAGGGGGAGGGGGGCAGGCTTCTTGGAGGGAGGCTGCTTCGCAGAAGGCCCCGGCCCCTGCATCTGCAGGCAATGCCCGCGCCTTGCGAGAAGCAGGGGTGCTTCAACGGAGCCTTTCCCCCTCCCCCTACCCTCCTCTGCGAATGACTGTAGCATTGCATTCAAGGCCACGGCACCGAACGGTACCGTGTCCGAGTTCCGGCCCCATTGCCAGTCGCCAGGACGAAGAAGGACACGCGGCTGTCTTGAGGGCAGGCCAATTTGAGCGAGACGTGTGAACCAAGACGCAAACTGGGCCGCTGCGAATTCATCCCACCCGCTTCGGGCACACTACTGGCGGCGCATGGACCATCCTCCCGCAGGAGGAGGACGAGGAGGACAAGACAAGGCGTGAAGCAAGCCCAACGCAGGATGGAGAAGAGGAGGAGGAGGAGGAGGAGGAGGAGGAGGAAGAGGAAGAGGACGGGGAGTGTGGAGGGAGGGGGGCATGAGGCGGAGTAATTGGAGGAGCAAGGGAACCTAGAAGAGGAGGGTTAGGAGAAGGTCGAGGAGGAGGATAAGGAGGGGGGGCGTCCTAAAAGGTCACCTTCTGCTCGCCCCGTGGGGGCGTTCGTACCACGTGGAGCCTTGGTGGTGTGTGCCGTGCGCCGCCATCATTGGTTTGTACGATCTCGACGCCGCGGCTGGACGTGGTCCTTTCGGGCTTGGTTCTCGGGAGTCGAGGGTGTCTCGGGTTGAAGTGTCGTCGTCTGACGGATGTGCCGTCGTTTTCTTCTGTCTCTTCTCCATGACTGGGCTACGAATTTCCCTTATGCAGAGCTTGCAAGTGGAGATAGGCTTACATCGATGTGAGTCTGCGTTAAATAGATATACACATGCACGTTCATGATGCTGCTGATGATGACGCTGATGATTGTTGATGAGGCTGCGGGGAAAATGTTGATGATGCTGCTGATGATGATTGTGCACGCTTCTCGATTTCTGCGTGTCATCCTGGCGCAGGGGCCCTGCTATTATTCTTTGCGCCGTTCAAATGTCAACATGGGGGTATCCGAAGAGTGTCCATGAACATGGATCAGGCAAACGGTGCCGATAGATCCACACCATGCGCGGATTCAAACTGACCTTCCAGGGTCGAAGGTGCCATTCGGGGCGCTAGTACGCAGCGAACGAGCGGAAGTGGTCGCACAGGTCAACTTGCACCCAAAGCTGTAGTTTGATATCTTGTGTCTCCAGCAATGTAGCACGTGGCGCTGTCTGGCGTCTACCACGGCGGGGAGCCAGCCGTTCAAGAGGAACGCGCTGCGCGCTGCCTCCGAGGAGCCTGCAGTGACCGCTGGCGGCGGCGGTAAGCCGCAGCGCAGTCGCTCTGAGGAGGAGGAGGAGGAGCGCGGGCACTCCCAGAGGTAGTGCTCCGTCGTGCATGGAACGTTGCAGAGGGGCGCACTCGTGCGCCACAGATCGGTCCAAGTGGTGCAGACGATCAGCGCTGGTCTCCGCACCGACGCAACACAGTCACGCCCATAGTCTCTCGCCTGAGATCCGTCCTCGGAGTCGATAAAGCCCCGGAGGGCTGGGACGTCGATGGACACATCCAGATTCGGGGTGGTAGGCGTCGTTGCCACGATGTAGCTCCAGCCACGTGTCAAGCACCAGATGCCCGAGCTGGCTCTTTGAAGTGCTTGCCAGTGGTCCCCGAAAGGCACTCTGATGATGACGAGGAGTAGAGGCCCAGACCTTCTCCTCCGGAGTTTTCTTCTTCTGATTGGCCTTGGGGGCGGAGGGGAAGGAGGAGGCGGACGATTGTGGTGATGATCTTGATGTTGACGATGACGCTTATGACGGATTGTGGTGGTGGTGATTATCATAATGATGATGGTGGTGCTGCTGCAGGTGATGATGGGGATGCTGGTGCCGTTGATGATGATGATGATGATGATGATGATGATGATGATGGTGATGTTGATATTGGTGTTCCTGGTAATGATGATACTGCTGACACTGATGATGATGGCGACGATGATTATGATGATGTCGATGCTGATGATGACGATAGCGGTGGTAATGATGATGATTCTGAGGAGGATGCTGATGCCGATGAAGTCTAATGTGAAGATGAGCTTGACGATGGGACGAATGTGATGACGATGGCGAAGCGGGGGATGATGATGATGGTTGCACGTTGCTTAGGGTGACGATGATGATGAGGAGGATGAGGAGGGGCGTGAGCAGGAAGGGAGACCATGATGATAGTGGTGATGCATGGGGATGGTGATGCTGTGGCTGTTGATGGTGACGCGGTGACGGTGATGATGAGGGTGAAGAAGGGGATGAGGATAAGGGGCGCGACCAAGGGGAACGAGGAAGCACAACAGAGCGGCATAGCACGAGGCCTTGGGAAGGCCTGCCCGCCGCTCACCATGCCGCCGCCGGCGCCCTTGCCGCCTCCGCTGGCTCCCTGCCGGCAGCGACGGCGGTGACGACGTTGCCGGCGACAAAGATGGGGGAGGGAGCGAGGGAGGAAGGGAGGGAAGGGGGGGAGGGAGGGAGGGAGGGAGGGAGGGAGGGAGGGAGGGAGGGAGGGAGGGAGGAGGAGGAGGAGGAGGAGGAGGAGGAGGAGGAGGAGGAGGAGGAGGAGGAGGAAGAGGAGGAGGGCTCGAGGGCTCGAGGCTGTGCGCTGCCGTCTGAATTACAAACAGCAGGCGGCAAGGGCGGTGGGCCGCCGCAGACCTCAGCGGAGGTCGAGCAAGTCGGAGGTGAACCTGTGTGGCCCTACCACCACACCATAATTCATCCACAACAGATGGGCATGAACACGAGCAGGAACCCCCATACGCCACCACTCTCAAGAGACAAGTTTTGGGCTCGCGGGGTCATTCCCTAGCCCCTCACCAGCCTGGACTGGCAGCGCAAGGCCCCCGCAACGCGGGGGCTAAATAAAGAGCTATCACCAGTCAACCACCAGTAGTAGCAGATCCAGCACTGCGATCGAACACGCGCAGCACTGAGTTGAGTTACGTGATGTCCTGCAGGAAGAGATGAGCAATATTAATCACCTGCGCCTGAGGCTGGCTCCGACACTGTAGCACGTCAAACCAATAAATAACAAAACGGCGTTCCCAACTCAACACGCACTCCAAGCAACCGCGCCCAGGAAATGTTACTTAAGGCCAGCTTTTTCCCAGATCAACTATGTGACCTTGCATACACGTCAGACTCCAAGGCACGCGAGGAACACATCGGACCAGTGCTGAGTCACCATACGAGCCGAAACACATCATAACCATAAGGCAACACTGCTTGCCACACCAGCACATAGTGAGGCACCGCATCCGCGTAAAATCGAGGACCAGCAGAAACTGAAGTTAGAGTAGCTCTCTAGATTGGGGATGACGCGAAAACGTAACACGCCGTGCACGTCCGCGAATATTGGCTGGGTAAGAGGCGGCTTTGCCTTCACCCGTCGGAAAACCCTCGCAAGCTTTGTGCAACGCAGCAGGGTGTCCGGCACCCGACCAGGAAACACACCTCTCACAGAAGATGGCAGCACCAACACGCCGCAGTCGACGACCGCCATGCCCCACCACTTCCTCTGCTTGCCACGCCGAAGGAACAACTCCGTCAGCAGTGGGTTGGAGCTCAACCTCCTGCGATTCACAATGGTCGGTAGTCTCCAATGCCGCTGCAACTGCGTGAGACGTCGTCACAGCGGAAGCCCCGAACTTGTCGATATGTGCCTTCACCCTCAGGCGATCGATAAAGTGTGTCTTGCACCCCGATCTGAGAATCTGCGCCAACGTGGGCCCCCAAGGAACCGAGGTCGTTCGACAACAAGCCCTGCATATGAGAGGACCCGGACCACCAAGTCGGACCAACATGTGCTCAGTCACGGTCAGCTGCCAATCTTGAGCATGCGCCGCATCGCCCATGCCATGTACTGAGCTACTTTCTGATGCTGCCTATACTCGATCACGTGGAAGCCCCCGTAAACCTGACTGACCTTATGCCCGAGAGCACCTGCGCGAGGGAACCAGTCAGCCCAGCCGCTATTAAGGAACTGTGAAGGTGGGATGTCCATCTGCCCATACTCCTCGAGAGACTTATGTGATGGTGCCCGAAAGCAGTTTGGCCTTCTACTACCAGGCGCTGCCTTAATCTGCGGCCAAATTGTCGCATGCGTGCCGGTCGCCGAGTCCAGAGAGTCCGCCCACGCATTGCCCTCCTCACAGAGGGCAAATAAGACAGCACAACTAAAATCAAAGTCGCCCAGCAGCTGTAACGCCACGAATACAGCATAGCGCTCAACGCGACCGATAGATTGAAGAGCCACTGGGAAAGCTCCATCCATATGCTGCCCGAAGTGGTAGACTTGCCTCGCCGAGCATAAGAAATGCCCATCAATATCTCCTCAATCCTGGCACAGCAGATCCGAAACCAAATCCAGCGGAGAAAATTTCGTCCCTGCCACGTTGATCGTAAGACGAGCCCCAGTTGCCCCAAAGCATGTAGTCCTGCTGGGCCAAAGGACCTGCAACGGAAGGGGGCATGCAAGGTAGAACCACTCCAATCTCAAAAGCAACCCAAGAAGGTATTCCAAGCACTGTCAGTTCCTGACCATACATGTACTGCCTCGTGTCCTGCAGTCGCTCAGGAAATACGCCATCGGTCTCCTCGACCTCCTCAACATGTGCTTACGGAGGTTCACAACTATAGAAGCGATGTCCTGGTGCACCCGACTCCGCGCCGCACTTCGAACACGTTTGGGGAGCGGCTAAACCAACAGAGAACTCTATATCTTGAGTCCAATGAACACGCGCCCAATGTGTTCGAAGTGAAGCGGCAGACACAATCTGAATAACCAAAGCATTGCGACCACCGACGCACGCGCGAAGAGCCCTCATCCAGACCGTGGGCTCGCCAAGCGGGTGTACAAATCTCTTTGCAATGCGTGATCCTTGCAATCGAGCAGTGCCTTGACATAGCCACGTGCGCACATCTTTGGGGGGAATCGTATGTGACGATATGAACCCCTCCTGGTCCGTGGTGAGAGCAGTTGATGAATAAACGTGTCGCCCAGCCAATGCGCCATGGAGAGAGACTACGACCGCCCCAATTGGACTCCTCGCATGCTTCCAAGATTGTTCATTCAATAGAAGCGTCGTGACAGCCACCCAAGCATGATGTAGACGCGCCACTGATTTTCGCAACTCCCATATCCAAGACGCATGCCGCACCGCCGAGTCACGAGTAGCTACGTACATCGGATCCTACTATGCTGACTTCTGCAAGGCATAATAAAATGTAAGCGAAGGAGAACCAGCGCGAGCCCCAACGAACATGGCTGCCGTGGACCTGAGTTACGTGAGAGCCTTCTCCGTCACACCAGATGCACTGGCGCCGTGCGCCGCAGACGGGAGCTAGCCAGTCCTCCAAAGGCAGCCACATGTGTGCCCGACAGTACGCCTGAAGAGCAGAAGCCTGCCACGCCGTGCTGCCGAGCCTTCCACGCACGCATTCGTCTGCTGCCGAGACGCGACCTCCACGATGATCGCGGCCAAGGTTGCGAAGCCACTTGCAGGATTGGAGCCCCCCCAGCGCCAGGATGACGCTTGGCCGCCGTATCACCCTCCCAGAAGAGGCAACAAAACCTGACTTCTCAGGCTGCCCAGCTAATCCAAGAAGCAAGGAACATGCCTAGATCTTATCCACCACCGTCCACAATTCACTCATATTCTGAAGACAGCCACCAGTCCACGGAAGAGAGAAGTCGTCGATGAGAGCGCGTGGGTCAGCACCTGGTCGCCGAACCTATTCAAGTAGACGAAGTTCAAGAACAGACATGAGGCCACGCGCATGTGGAAATCCGCCAAGCTGCCTTGAAATACATGAACCGCAGAAGTCACCGTCCCAACGGCTTGCAGCCCTCTCGGAAGTGTGTAGCATTGACAAAATACCACAGCAAACGAATATTATAGCCCACTGCCCGAGCTTCGTGAACGAGCTCTTCTCGGAGGATCTTAAAGGTCTTCCATGCATCGAGTGATGCAGTAATCGCATGCTCGTTGAGCGACCCCGCCACCTCAGCGTCAATATTTAAACCGAAGGCAGAATCGGATGGCGAACGCGAGCCGCCGAGCCCTGGATTTCCGGAGGGGTTCTCGAGGATCAGCTCCTTGGTAATATGGGCCCTAACCTGTGACCACAACCTGAGCGCGCAGTCCGTCTGTGTGATGAGCTTGTCTCCCCCGGGCGGCATCGGGATGCGTATCACCTTGTTCCACGAGCGTTGACTGGGCCAAGATCCAACCTCCCCGCGCTCCTCGAGCAACCGCGCCAACGCGAAGAGGCCCTGGGTCGAGATATGGATGAACGCCCGCGGTGCAACTCGCCCGGGTGAAACGGCAGTCTTCGTCGGGAAGGACAAGATCGCTTCCTGCGCCATCGGGGCCGGGGCGGGCGGTGACACGGGCCACTCGTCAAAGTCAGGTGGGAAACAAGCGCCAGAGCATCGGCGCAGCCGAATCCTACGCCAGTCTGGCATCTCCCAGTCGCATAACACCAGCGGGGAAGCAGCTGTAGCACGACCCGACTAACGACCCAGTGCGCGCTGCAAGTCACGCGCCTGAGCGGCCCGATTCGCGCCCCTAGCCCAATTGCAAAACGATTGACGAGCGAACTCCCCCATGCCTTCCGCTTTTTCTTGACCGCCATGTCGCGCTGCATTGGCGCAAACTGCGCGACGTCGCCCGCGCGCTTCTGAAGATCATCCCGTAGAAGAAGATCCGGCAAACATGAATGTCGCACCCAAGACTCGGAATGCCGCGCGCGGCCATGCCGCGGGAGCTGCGACAGAGGCCTCGTCAAGAAACCGCGCGACCTTCAGACATCGTTCGGCTCCAGCACGACCGCGGGGCTCGCGGCGTGCAGCTCATGAGCGCAGCGACAAAAGTGCGCCAATAAGCCGGGCATCTGTTTGGCCCAGCGCGCCGCTGCCTTCCGCGCCGACGCAGTGGCCCCTGCGCGATGCTGCCCCAAGAGATCGCACCGATCAGACAACTCTTTCTTGACCGCCCATGAGACTGAATCCAGCGCCTTCAAGCTGATCAGCGTGATCAATCTCCGAGACGAGCTTCAATGGTTTGGTCCAGTCTTCAACGTTCCCAGAGCAGCCCGGAAGATGAACTGCACAAATGCGCCGCGGAACCCGAAGCACCCGCGCGCGCGTCGATACCTTCGGCCAGAAGAGGGGCTGGACGGGAAGATGCGGCGCAGTCGCAATATCCTCTTGCACCGCAGGTTGCTGAGTGCGCGCCGCCAAGTGAGAATGCACAAACAAGTGATCCAATATCGCAGATGCTCCGCCTTAGTTGTCCGACGCGTAGTCCCAGCAGGAACATCTGATCAACCTCCTGATTCTTTTAATCGTGGAACTTCACGCTGATCTCGCGCTTCGTTCAG